AAGTTCCTCGGAAAGAATTTCTACCGGAAATTAACAAACAAGCAGATATGTAACACTACCCACTTTTTTTTTGCATACAATCATATTTTATTCTTCAAATAATGTAAAAGTAATACTTAACTTATCTTTTCTATTTAGTCTGTACAAGGAAGTATCTAAAATATGTTCAAAGTATTGTAAATGTAATGTAAATTTATATAGAACTGAAAACTGTTGAATTGATCAGACCAGCAGTTCTACCTTCAGTGCATGCTTATTATCAGATTGAAACTATTACCTCACTAAATGAATCATTAAAAATAGAATTCACAAGACATGAAACTAGCTCTAACACAGGGGGACTGTTCAAACTCAGGAAAGCATGAGGAAACTTGATTTTAACAATTTCATCAAAATCAAAAGACTACTAAAAGTCTTGGATTCATGTTCGATGTAGACGAGTGATCATTCTGAATGTGTTTATATATATATATATATATTTCTACAAATCCACTTTAAAAAAAATTGTCTGCTTTGTCCTTCCTGGTCACACAAGAGAAAATCATGTACTTCAATCTTTTTCTTTCTTTTTATCATTCTGATGTATCACATGATTAAAACCAAAAACCATAACAATAAACTCAAGTGGGCTAAATGTTCCATGGATCATTACAGGATGTAAAAGTCCCCAGGCAATTGTTTGGGAACTTTCTTACAACAGAAAGCTGAAACCTTGAGCTCATTAGGTTACCCTAAAGATAGAATTAACATAACAATGTTTTGGGACAACATGGGACCTATTGTTCCATCTCGGCTGTTCAATCCTCTAAACTAAATTAAAATAATCTTTTTTAAATATTAAAGTCAGCTCTTGTCATTCATATACTTATCAAGCTTTTTCTTAAACTCATTTAAATTTACTGCCTCTGCAACATCTGAAGGCAACCCATTCTAAAGGCCAACAACCCTGTTAGAAAAATGAAACTGTCTTAGCTGAAGATGACTCCTACCTTGCCAAATTTTATTTTTGTGTCCCCTAGTTTTACTATTCTCACTGTTAAATGTAAAAAAAGGATGATTCATCAATACTATGAATTCCCTTTACAATCCTAAACACCTCAATCAATTCCCCCCTAAGTTTGAGAGATTTCAGCCTCTCCTCGTATGACAACCCCTCCATCCCAGGCACAATTCTAGTAACCCTTCTCTGAACCCTTTCCAACAATTCATTGTTAGGACCTAAGTAGAAGTGAGTGTAAATATCAAATTGAGGCCTCATATGAGCATATTATGATTTATTATGGCTCTAGGCCTAAATCTAGTGCTTGTATGATATAAATGTTGCTCATTTGCATGATATGTCATCATGACATACGGTAAGTACTGATTCCAATCAGTTTGATCACAATTAACAAATATAGCAAGCATATGATTGACACTCTGCACTGCCCTTTCAGCCAAACCATCTGATCGAGAATGATATGATGAAATGTGTCTTCACCATTCCCAACAGAAAACACAATTCTACAAAAACTAGTTGAAGTTAACTCTATGATCTATGTGAATCACTCTAGGGTACCAAAGTGTGAAATCCACTGTTCAACCAACTTACCAGTTACAGACTGTGCTAATGTGTCAGTCAATCAATAATCTTCAGCCTACTTGGTGATGCAATTGATAAACACCATCACATACCAACTGCTTTTACCAGATTTCGGCAGATGACAAAATATAGCCAGTGATATTCTATAGAGATTAACCTACTACTCTCTGTCCGAGTTTTCTTTGATTTGGCCAACTTTCTTCTTGGAAGTGTACTAAGTACATTATCCATACCACTGCACAACATTTTCCACAAGTTGGCAATAGTTCATGACACACCTTGGTGCACTTCAGTCTTTGCATTATGCAAAGCCTCCAATGCTGCACATTTCATTTTCATGTGTGTGTGTGTGTGTTTTTCATGCACAACAACTTTCGGCTATTAGTATTACATAAATCAAACAATCGAATTTTCCATGTCAGTGACATTTAACGTATGATTACTATCCAAACATTGTCAAGCAGTTTGTTCTGACACCACTAAATGAGCAGGAAAATGTTTACAGTTTAGAACTATTTTTAAATTCCTGGCTGAGGAACAAACCTTTGGACACAGTTATAAGTTATAGATATGGTGAAGATAGCTCTATACTATAGAGCAAGGGTAGACATAGATTCCTGGATTACCTGTTGAGTTAGCGCTTTGGAAATGAAATGATTTTGTTTGAATTTTCTAATCTTCAAAATGAGTCTTACAGTCTCTGCCTCTGAGTCAATCAATGAAAGTTAATCCCAAATTCTATAGAGAGATTCAGCCTAGTGTCTATTTAATCCATACTACTTCCTTAGTATTATTAAAAACTGATGAAATAAAATACTATAAATTGTAACTGTAAGTGCTCAGCTATTTAACAATCTTCAAACAAACTCCAAAGCTCATCCAATACCATATATTTATATTACACACACACACACACACACACATATATATATATATTATACTAAGTTATACTTATATAGTTATAGGTAGAACTAAGTTCAACTTGATCATCATCATACGTTAAAGTGACTTACACTTAAACGTCTAACCTCCAATTTCATCAATAAGTGAATAACATTCTGGCAGTTGTAATGCTTCAATGGGTAATTATGAAAAACTTTAATACAAGTTTAACATAACAGCAAATGTACAAGGATGATGACAAAACCTTGTCGAAACATCGTACATTTGCTGTTATGTTAAACTTATATTAAACTTTACCTTCATTACCCATTCAAGCCGTGTCCAAGCATTATTAGTCTCAAAGTGGGTTCCTTGTCATCGAATTTGAATTCTGGCAGTAGATTGTACAGTGTACTGTGGAGTGTAGACAGTACAGTGATATCGAAAACCCGATAAAGATTTTAAAAAATGTTTCTTTGCTGTATGATAACCTGTATAATTTTAAAAAGTATTTTTCTCAACGACAGACTGTTAATGTTAGTTATGACATAGCTTGAGAAATTTACTACAGCGAGTTTAATACTTACTCTTAGCGTTTAGGCAACAAAGCCCGAAATTTTCTTTGGTCCGCCACTTTTCCAGTTTAACGCCATCTATGACTGTAATAAGCAAAATTACTATTAAGGGCCATAAGAATAATTGAATCACACATTTCGTCGAATGTTTCAACAGCAACTTAATCAGTAGCTTGGTTTTAAGTAATACTACTAATAGAAAGGTAGACTAAAGAAAATATATCTTTTCTAGTACTTTTAGTTCCGATTCATTTAAATTATTTTACTTTTGTCTATGCACTTTGCTCTTAGCGTTCTACTTCAGACGTAACAACCTACTGAAGTGTAAATAAAATAAGAAGCAAAGTTTAATAAACATGTATGACTTCTACAGAAGAGTAGTGCTGTCAAAGCGCACCGGAACACCGCTCTATTAACTGAAACTATATCTGAGTCCCGAAACTTTAGGTATTAAATATATATATTGTTGCGTCAGCGAGGTCACGTGACTAGTATCACGCCACTCCTTCTCTCGAACCTTCGGGAATTGTCGGGAGATTACTAGATATGGGTAGTCTGGTATATATAAGATGGTGACAATGTGTAGACAGTGAGTAATTGATACTGCAGTCAGAGAGTATTGTTACGTTCTACCGTTTGTT